TGTTGCAAAATGTAGGTCGGTGTTGCTCTATTCTATTTTTATTATTGTACTTTAAAATCTCTTCTATTTTTAGATATTGGCATCGTTCATTAAATGTAAAGAAGCTTTTAGCTGTTAAATTTTCTCATCTTGGACGAAATATGACATTACAGCGAACACAAAAATTATTTAAATTACCTGAAGTAAGTTAATATTTACAGAGTTGGAGTTTTCAGACTAATTTATTTATATATCTGATATATTTAAGGTAAACTTATTTTGATAACAGAGTTTCAAATAATAATACCTAAAACATTTTGTCTTAGCAATAGAAAGAACTTTGTAGAAGCGAGAAGTGGGCAAGTTCAAGTTTAGACTTGAAGGTTTTTTTGACAGACTTGGATTTGAAGATTTTTTACCAAATTTGTTTAGTCCAAGAAGTCATATTCAACAATGAAGTGGATGTAATTTGATACGTAATGTATTCATCTCTTTTTTTTGTCAAATATTCATCAAAGATATGAATAAAATTTATTTACTCGTCATATATGATTATGACCTACTAGACAGTGTAGAAGCTAGTTTGAAAGAGCTTTAACCCGAACTTGGGAAATGGTCGAACTTATCCACATCTGATCGAATCAATAGTTATTGTTGTTTATGTTGTAGACTACTCATATAAAAGGATTTCGTGAAATGAACGATAGAGATGTACCGCAGGCATGGAAATTACTCACTCAAGTATGTGTACAATCTTCTGTTTAGTAACTGTTGTTTAATTATTTGCTTATTTTTTTGTTTTCTATTACAGTATTTAAGAAAGTTTGAATTAGCTCCTGTATTTTCTGAACATGAATTTGAATATCTATGTTCTAATCGTTCCAATATTGTTAGCAGCTATGTTGTTGAAGTATGTTAACATTTTCAAAATTTTTATCTTTGAGATTATATAACTGTTAGAAAATTCACTACCTTATGAATATATTCGAGCATCTCCAGTTTAATTTTTTTTTACATATTCGTGGGACTCTTTTTGCAAATACCACGAAAGAAATCTCTAGTGTGAGTGTGGATATAAAAAGAGGATCATAATCTTACTTTTCCTTTTGTGCAAAGTATATAGCACAACGTTCAGAACTATTAAAAACGTCTCAGTCTATACTACGAATAATCGACGTAACAATCGATCATTTACTTTTTAAAAATAATGATATGATCTCTCTCTCGAAAAAGATAAAATTAAAATCCTATATCTTTCTGTTTTAAAATTTTTGAAGGATATAGAATGTTTTCGTCGGACCCAATGATGTGCGACCTTTCTTTTCCCACCAAAGTAGAACTGTACTTCCAGCAGATTCCTGAAACAAGACATAACACGTTTCCTTTTTGATAAGATAAATTCTTTTCTAACATTACAATACTTTTACTTATTTCTTTTTCTTCTCTCTTTTTCTTTTTTTTTACTTGTTGTTCTTTTTTTCTTGTTGTTATTATTGTCACATTTATTAAATTTCAATCAACATGTAATGAGCCAGCTCGATTTGTTAAAAAATAAAAAAGTTTAGATTAAATCTCTAATATTGCTTGTATGTTTATTTTAGAATGATGGTGAAGTAACTGATTTTATATCGTATTATCATTTATCATCGACCATAATGAATCATCCACAGTATAAAACGTTGAATGCTGGTTATTTATATTACCATGCTGCTTGTAAAACACCATTGGTTGATCTTGTTACCGATTGTTTGGTATCAGCACATAACGTAAGTTCAGTTCCCATCCAAATACTTAAAATTATTATTTTTCTGTGAAAATTATGCAAGTTAGCTTAATACAATACGATAAATTTTATGAATGAAAGTGATAATTTACACACGTTATGACACATTTGAGATTTTGAAACCCTACTCTTTTATAAATTATTGATTAGTTCTCTAATTTGAATGTTATGAAATAGATAAAATATACACAATATTATTATCCATTAAAAAACGAGGAATGAACCGGATTAAGAAAGAAAATGGCACACTGTGTGCCGCTAATACACAAAAAAAATAGTATTCTGTTTAAAAAGTTTTTCTCCACTCTGGATGACGAGAAAGATTGTAGGGCTCGAAGACGAGTGTACGCCAAAACAATTTTCTCCGCTTACGGCAGCACCGCACACTGGTAGGTGTAGTTTATCAAGATTTACAAAGTACGGTTGACACGCAAACGTTAAGCATGGAGTTTTTAAAATGACTGATGCGATTCAAAATAGATGATTACTAAATGATGTTCTCGGACTTATGTCCATCGTTTTAACAGAAAAGAAAGTAGTAGATTACATATCTTTTTATTTTAGACTGGGTTTGATGTATTTAATGCCTTAGATTTAATGGATAATAAGGAATTTTTAGAAAAATTAAAATTTGGCGCTGGTGATGGAAATTTACAGTATTATATTTATAATTGGAAATGTCCACAAATGGATGCTGAAAAAGTAGGCATTAAATATTATAGATAAAAGTATTATAATTGCTTATTTTGTTTTCATTTTGTTTAGGTTGCCTTACTTTTACAGTAAGATGAAAACGAGTCGATTTTTCTATATTTATGAACATGCGATCTGTGTTATTCTACTATTATCATCATAGTCGAGAAGATTAATTTTCTGAATTTTTTTTTGTCTTCTTTATTTCTATTGTTTCACTTTTACGTCATTCCTTTTTCGTTTTCTGTTGCTTTTTGATTTCTTTTATTACAAATACTTTTGTTTAATAAATTTTTTTACTTAAGATAACAAATAACTACTAATTATTGTAGAAATTACTTTATCTTCATAATGAATTTTTATTTAAATTTATAACACTTGTATAAACGTTTCGATTGCATATGCAATCTTCTTCAGTAGAACAGAACATAAATCTATAAATTTTAAATTCATTGATAAAAAGATACATAGAACACATTCACAACTTGTATTGTTATATCCGTACAGTAGATGTTAAAAATGTATTATGACAAATTCGTTTTTCTTTTTCTTACTTATATTTCTCCTTTTCTCTGATATACTCTTTAACCTTTTCTTATTCTTCTTTCCACCAGAATAAAACAATTTAACAACGATGAAAGAGACAAGAAATTTAGATATTTGTACTTCAGTCGAGCCTAGATTTAGAAATTAAACTGTACGAACGTAAATATATCATGTCAAAGATGAAACTTAAATGCAACTACAGTCAGAAGATATACAGAATATATTATAAAATATATACGTATGAAAAATCTCTCCAGAGCCGATGACGATCACTCATAATTCTGTCTATTCTGTTTTCTAAACTTGTCTCTAGTATTTAGATCTTGTTGTATGGTTTCTGTAGTCGTCTTATTGGCATCCTTAGTTTCATTTTCTGGAAAAAACGTTTTTCCTAATCTGTTTTATGGTTGATTTTCATATTTATTTGCATCGATCATAATCTGAATTTGCTATTTGGTGTACACTGTTTCTAGCCCTTTTTGTCTACATCAGTTTTTTTCTTTATCAAAACTCATTCTATTATTGAAATTAGTAAAGCATACAGTACCATTTTCATGATGCTGGGCCATAATCTGAACCATCCACATCTATAATGTACATAAGGATAGTTTTCGAACTTATGCGGGTAACACATGAACACATTATCCTTATAGAAATTGTATCTCAGCCCGGAAATCAATCAGGATTTACACTCCCATAATTTATTAAATGCATCTCAGTTCGAAAACACAGTTTGAACTCCATTTTCCAACTGAGGTACATAGTTAAAATAGTATCTCAGTTGGGAAGATACGATATGTACAATAAAACAACAGGAAAAGTCCTTTTTTGAATTTAATAGGTGATTTTAGAAACAAACCTCTTTCAGTCGTCTCTAGTTTATACGAAAAAATGATTACAGATGCGACATCGGTAGATACCAAAACTAAAAACCGATTTCCTGGTAAAGAAAAATTTCTATGTCTGTTTGTTTAAATCAACAATCTCTAGTATAAATTTGAAATGTGGAGGGTATCCTTACCCTACCTTGCAGAATAGCATAGAGTTGAAGCTCAACAAATAGTTAACCTGCACATCGCTACTATAAACGTACATAATACTGTAATGAACTCATTTCGTTCAGTTTCCGAAGATGATATTGTCATGCTTTCCACATGACGAATACATATATAAAAAATCTTTATTCGACAGTCTATAATGTGTACAGATAAATCAACATGAATTTACATCTCAGTGGAATATTACGACACCCATACATAAGCGACAACATCACAAATCACAATTTGTCTTCCAGAAACATCGTGTATTTGATGCTTTTCGATGATAGTGACAATTGTAGAAGAGCAAGCGGTAACTGGTGACTAGTTTCATTTACTACGAACGGGAACTATAACTGTTCCAGCTATCCATAGCATCCAATTTCTTGTAGTTTCAAAGGGAGCCGCGATAAAATGCATGTCCTTGTGAATCATGTGGAAACGTGGTGCTAATGAAGCTAATTTGACTAACTAAAATTTTTTTTCTTATTTTTATTTAGTCGATATCTTCTGCACCTTTAAGTAAGTCAGCCTTCCAACTGAATGTAATCGTCCCACTCGTTTAACTCTTTGTAACTCACCAGACTTCTCTACAATAATTGTATGCGGAGTCTATTTCGAAGTAAAAGGCAGAAAAACGCTTAAAAAGATATGATAGATTTGTAATGAACTTGTTTCGCACAAATTCTACGTTTTTCAATTAGTTCTCATCTCCTACCAAACTTTGACACGAATATTACACATCGTATGTAGACTTTCATTAATATAATTGATAAGCTCGAAAATAGTTTATTATCAACTGTCACAAACCATCATTCCAGTGCGATAATCAAAGATCATATATGTTCTATGACCGGTTTGTTAAATGCTCTTGAACGTAAACTATATGTATCGAGTACTACTCGATAAAAACAAAAAACCATTTCAAAAAACATGTCCGCCTGAAGATTATTGAGACTGAAGCATTCTTGAAAACTAAATCATATTGTATACAATACAGACGCTATATAACGTCTGTTGTCAGGCAATATCGTGGTTGAACAATGCGTCGTCAACAACTGTGTTTTTTCTGATAATACGTTTTTTTACTTGCATCGCAATTAATCGTAGTGATTTGAATACAAAATAGAATTAGAAGTAGAAAAAACGCATTTTTTCCACTAGAATCACATTAAACCGCAGATCTTATTTGATGGTCACCTATTAAAACATGGTTTTAAATAAAAAAAGCGGTGATTCGAATTTTTTTAGCGAAAACTACTCTCGTGTTTATTAACCGAAAAAATAATTATAAGCACTAGCCTAAATTGTATAATTATTTTTATTGATGGATCGATTAAAAATCTGATTTCTAGAAACGTTCTTCTAAGTAAAATTGCCAGCTGAACTTCAATTTTTAAAGTTTCGTTTCCACAACTGGTTCCAAAGTTTTCCTTGATAAATTTAACGTATGTTATTGACAGAGTAACATTATTTTTGCTATTGTTATTAAATTGGAAGTTAGATCCCATTTCTTTGTATTGACATGAATTTAATTTCCGGTTATAATAATATTATTCACTGTTATATGGATAATTTTGTTCCTCTTATCGCTATAACTCATTAAAAAAACAAAACAAAAACAATATTCTCTTTTTCTTTCTACTTTTTGAAATGTAGAACATGAAGACAACTTTCATAAATATCACAATTGACATGGCTTTGCTGATATTTGAAATAAACTCATTTTCCACTTATAATTATTCTAGAGTGAGAAGAAGAGAACAAAAATCACTTCAACAATACCCTCTTAGTTTTTTGCCCAGTTTGAGTTTGTGATGTGTGGAAAAAATAGAGGAAGAAGAAATATTATAAAATAATGGAAGAAAAAGCTACATAAATAATTCATCATCTCAGATATTTTCTCTCCTTTATTTTTTTTATTTAGAAAACCAGGAAACACTGTTTGGAGAATGTCTACAAATGATGTGAGAAAAGAAAAAAAGGGAATATCATATTTCAAAATTTTAGTAAAACCATTTGAGTAGATGAATGACGTTAAAATAATGTGAAGGAGAATAGATTTCAGAATACAAATATTAATCGTCATTTGTGAATGGATTGTTTTGACAATGCTATTGATTTAACAACAGCTTTTTTATCAGTAGCGGAAAAGAGTATGGAAGAAAAAAAATTGATCCCCGTTTTTTCTTTCTTTCCTCAAGTTCGTGATTTTTCGATGTTTATTACTCAATGATTTTTGAATTTATTTTTAATTAACTTTTTTTTCCTCTCTCTATTTCTCATTGCACATATTAGTTTTGAGAGCAGTCTTCCGTATGAACTCTTTTACGAAGTGTGTTCAGAAAAGTTAATAGGTGTTCATGATGAAAAATTATGTGTTGACGTTTATTTTATTTCTATGTAATATATGGTGTTCAAATTCACAAACTTATCGACATTATACACATCATCATTATCCAACAAGTTCACCAATTGAGACATATGACAATCGATCAGATGATTTTTGTCATTTATCAGTTCGATGTCCAGCATTATCATCTTTAAGTAGGTGTATAAAATCAAAATGAAAAAAGTTGATCAATGTTTTATCTATATTTAAAAATTTTAAAAGTTAAAAATGTAGTAGCAATTGGTTTGCATACAATAGTTTCGATGAGAAATTTCTCGTACATATCTCAAATATTTGTTTAGTATATTTTTTTTTTCTAAGGTCAATATGATCGTGATAGCAGAAATCGAAGATTCACTGTTGACACCTTTCTTGCAATGCATGGACCACCGGGACCTTCAGGAATTCAAGGTCCTTCTGGTGAACCAGGACAAAGAGGTCCTGTTGGATTACAAGGTGAGACAGCGATACATAATAAAATTTGTTAATCTATCGTTTTTCTGAACTATTAGGCGAACCGGGTCTATCCAAAGAGTATCCTCCACTTGTTGCATTCATTGCTTATCTACAGAAAATGTTATCAATTGAAACAAACAAGTCAGAAGTAATTATTTTTGAAAAATTTGGTTTTAATGAAGGAAATGGGTATAATACAACTACTGGAACATTTACAGCGCCTTATACAGGAATATATAAATTTAGTATAACGATAATGGCACAAATGGATTCAATTGTATGTGGATAGTCTAATTAGTATTAATAATGATATAAAATATGTTAACTTCATCTTTTTTAGGCTACCGTTCGAATTGTTCATAATAATTTAAAAATTTTGGGTATGATTCGATGTGATTGTCGACGACGATTTTCTCATGTTCGTGGCAGTGTCTATGTTAATCTCGAGGAAAATGATACGATTTTAATCGAAGCATTAGGAGATTTAAGTGATCCTGTTCATTCATCACCACGTAATAATATTTATGGTTATACATATACACATTTTAGTGGATCACTGTTATATTTAACAAAGCCAACAGTCAATTATTTTTTATGATATTCAGTTTTGCATCTCGTTAGTGTTAGTCTTTATATCAACTTATTATTATATCAAATATTATTAAAATATGAACTCATTGTATTCAACAGATCCATCGTTATGTATTCTTTTTATATCGTAAACCTTATTTTATTCAGTGGATAAACGGGATTTCGTTTTCTTTTTAATTTCGCCCAATACCAATAGTATCTAACCTCACTTGTCTGGTTTTTGTCTACAATTTACTAATTGTTTGTGGTGATATTTGACTATTTTACGTAATGCGCACATTTTTGGACATTATTGCAGTGTAACTTAGCCTCTGCCCCATCGATCCATGTATAAATATCTATAATCTCTTTCTAGTTGTTCCGAATTGATATGAATAAGAATACAATTCATTATTGATGTTCTTTTCTAATTATGTGACATTTATTGAAACGCATGAGGTTGTTATATCTATGTCGGAGACAAAATGTTTTTCGCATATCAAGTTGATCAAAATCTTTTAAATTTTTAAATATGTATAAGAAGACTATGGCGAATCGAATCATGTATTTTTTTTCTGAAAAGAGTTTTCATAAGATTTTCACATGAAGAAGTCTATATGTCTGGCAGAATTACATTAATCTTATTCTAATTCTATCACATCTACTGAGATACATAAATTTGTATAAAATTAGAAATAAACATGGAAATGCTACGCGAAAGTCAAAATTATCATATACTCTTGAAATAAAAAATGTTTTTCATTCAGTAAGAACTAAAACTAAAAAACTGGACTCAACACGATAAAGTAATTGTGTAATTTTGTTTCTAACTACGACATCAGTGATTTCTTCATTACAAACTTCAGAACATTGCGACTTGGGTACGTAAAAGTACCCCTCAATAAGATGCTTTTTTTTGACAACTGTCATCTTTGCCTTTGTTTTCGCTATTATAAGCCAGTTTCAAAGATCATCTGAACACAGATCCTGATAGAAAAATGAAATGGGGAACAGTTTGAGGCTAGGCACAAAATAATAGCATCAGCAATAAATACGAGAGGAACTTTACTTTTATTTAGAAATTTTCTGAAAATAGTTGGAAAAACGTAACGCTCAGTATTTGATTATGGCGCAGCAGCGAAGCATTTAGTTGAAAAAAACTTTTTTTATTCAAAATACTACTAGCTTGTCGAGAAAGATTAGAGAAACAATGGCCAAAACTTAACGTCGTAACGTTTGCCCAAGCCGACTTTGAGCCTGACTTTGATAGCCACTTTTTAGAAAGATTTCTTGCTCTTTAGAAACTGTCTTGATCTGTTGATATAATAACAGTTTTATACATGCTCAATAACAAGCACAAATCTCACACACTTGTTTTAAATATGATTGTGTACAAAATCTTCTTCATGTATCTATAGGAGATGTTTTCAATCCAATTTAGATCTCGCCACTTTTGTAACGAAGATAAAAATATCATGTTACTTATTTTACCTTAATTATAGATATTTGAAGTGTCTTTAACATTTGTTATCAGAAGAACGAAAATAACGAGAAAATACGTTCAGTAACATGTTATTCTTCTTGAAAAAATACTATGTAGAATATTGAACACAAGTGTTACATGGATCGATGAGGGAAAAAGTTTAGCTACCTAGAAATTTTTATTTTATCTTAAAAAAAACGAAAATTATTCAACGTAAAATATCTCTTGATAAAATTAGAATACAGTGCTGTACATCTCAGTTAATTCTTAAGATTTTTTTTGAAAAAGAGAAAAAAATTGTCCGTTTTTTTAACGTTGAATGGATATATTATGTAAAAATGACATGTATCCTAAAAGGTCTTTTTCAATATATTCAATACACTCAAACAAATAGTTTCGTTTTTATACTTCTTAAACTCACTGTAGACTCTGTTTTTCCTATGTGTTTTATACTGAAAAAAAGTTGAGATGGTGCGTATTGATTTCAGACATACGTGAATATCCTTTTGCTCGTAGAACAACACTACGCCCCTCAACACTCCTTGTGATCACTAAAAAGTCACTATTAGGTCACTACAAGACCACTACCGTCGTGGAAAAAGTGTAGTGTAGTGTAGTGTTGCTTTTCCCCCCTTGATCTAAGTTCATGTGTTCGAGTTCCTTTTTGTACAAAATTGATTTTGTATTTTTCAATAGGTTAACTCTTAGAACACTACTGTTTTCCACTTATATTCTGGAAACGTAAAGCTTAAATCAACAATAACCAACGGGTGTTGCAAAAGTTCCTGAAAAAAAGTTGAAGCCTATATCTCTGTCATACGAAAGGCTACAAGTCTAATTTTTTTTTTTTGTTTGAAAGATCTTATCGTCATCTACAAGAAACACCTGCTGCATGTGTTTCAAATTACTTTTAGATTAAACGAGTAAGCAAAAAACCGAAGACACTCGAAAAGCTCTTGTAATTCTCGCACGCTTCGAACATTTCTTTCTCATCAAACATTTTTTTTCCTTATAACAGAATACGTTTGAAAGCATATATTTATAAAATCCAGAGTGTTTTTGTCGCTCTCTCGAGCAGGATATGATAAACTATCTTTTGATCTACCTTTCAAGGAGAAATTCGCAAATTATATATAGAATATATAATTAGAATAATAAATATAGAAATTCGCAAAAGATATAGATTTCAACTTTTGCAACACCCGTCACCAGTGAGAATGAATAAATGAGAGGAGTAAGTCTCTCTGAAACTATTTTTTATCTTAATTTCGTGTGCGAATCAATGAATAATACTTTTTTCCACATACAAGTGTTCCATTAATGTGAACTGATTTGACTTTATTAGAAAAATAAGTTTTTCGATCAACAATGGATTTTATACGCATTTTATATATCTTTTGACTGAATATTTAGTAAAACTTGACGTATAAATCACAAACATCAATGCATCCAAAGGAGTATATTACATGTTTTTATTAAATACTTAATAGATTATTTAATACTCTTTAATATGCGTTATGAAAGATTTGTGTTTATAATTGTTGACATATTGTTTGGAAACGATACAGTTTTGTTGAGTTTTTGACAAACGAAAGATTGATTGAAAAACTATTCTAAAAAATATCAGTCAAAAACAGGTATCGGTAAGCCAATGAGAAGAAGATATTGCTGTTATATGAATTTATGAAGAAAAAGTCATTGTTGGATATTTTCTTGATAAGAACTAAAAATTAAATATCCCTAATCGGCATAGAGGATGAACAGTTTCGATCCATATATACGTTGTCTTAATTCAAAAATGATAGGTTCTGGTTCCTGATGCAAAAATCGAACTATCGCCATATAAACAATGAATGATTCAAAATATACTGTATGAGTGTATACAATGTTGTGTTATTAAGTATCAAAATAACGGTTCCCAGTTGTTTGCCTCGAACGTGAACATAAAATGTCAACATTTATTTTGACATCTATATTATTTTATTATGTGTAACTATTAGATTATGTCTTTTACTTGTGTCTAAAAATTTTTCTAACTAATTGCAGACTCCTCTTTTTATACTAATTTTTAGCATGCTGTTTTAACAATACATAAGCGATTCAATTTTAACTTATATACTACCGAAAATGAATATTATTGATTAAATATCGCTGAAATGAACAAAAACAAAGAGAACTATTTTTAGCATTTACTTTTTCATCACCACACATTGATATTATAAATGTTATAATTAAGAAGATCATTTTAAAATCGTGTTTCATGGGTAAATTTTCCAATATTTATATAATATTGATCATTTTCATTTTTTTGTCTGTCAGCAGTAATTTTGAAAACTTGAAAAAATAACTCCTACTCATAAATCAGAATGTTAATTAGAAGATGAGAATAAAAATCCAACATCAACAAACGAAAGATCTGAAAGTGACAGTGAGAAGATGATACAATGTGAACTATTCTTTGAGGTTTTTCAGAGCTGGGCAAGTCTGGCTAGGTACAACTCCAACTCCGTTTCAACTCCGAATTAAAATTTATTCGTTCTTGTTCCTTCCTGCTTTTTACGTCGTCCGTTAACGATCATGTTTTCTTTTTGTGCACAAAAAAATCTTTATAAAAAATCAAAAATTACACTTCAACAATGTTAGTTTTGAAAGTATATTCTTCGTCATACTACTACGATGTGCTCGAAACAAAAAATCTGATTGTGAAAAAACACGCTCCGCGGGAGCTGATGTAGTCGGAGTTGAAGAAATTTTTAACCGGAGTTTCGGAGTCGACAAAATCTGTCATCAACTCAATTCTGGTCGTTTAAAAAGCAAACTCCAACTCCGGAGTTGAGTTGCCCAGTTCTGAGATTTTTTTATATAGGTCTATGGGCAATAATGAATATATAGATATCTTTTATTGCTATCGAGTTTTTGTTTCTTTTCTTCCATGTATTTGTTGTAGGCAAAACTAAAATTCTAATTTTGACTAGAGATTCGCTAGACAAAATTAAAATTTGAATTATGACCAGGCAGACTTTAAATTTGACTGAAAGATCTCTAGACAAAATTGAAATTCTAACTCTGACTAAAAATAAGTAGGCAAAATTAGAATTTGACATTATTTTCGTGTAATGTCGGGTTTAATCTTAACTGGCATTGTACGTCTAAGACATCCTAACAATAATATGTTTCTACTCCCTTCGATGATTTTTCCCGTAACCCAATGACAATGAAAAGTAGATCTATCGAATAAATTTAACACGAATAGACAGTACCATCACATACACGGGGTTTTCGGAGTTTCTTTTTTGTTTTGTTTTTATAAATTTTTGTCCCTAAATAGAATTTCACAAAGCAAGATAATACTGCCAAAGAGAATCCGAGAACGGCAAACTCGAACTCACCCAGCTGGTGGAATTGTACAAAAATCAAAATTGAACATGCCAACATTAGGCACGGCAGATCAGTAGTAAATTCAAATGTAAATATTAAGTTTCAAGCGTCCGTCCGAGATCTCTTTAATTATTTTTTATTAGTTTATTAGAGCAGCACAGCATATGGCACTATGTACAATTTCCAGACTGATTCAAATATTGCTATTGTTGCTGAGAAACATTTCAGATAGGCTTATCCTAATCAACTACTCTTTATTTTTACAATGACCTCTTTTTGAATGACATTTGGTAGAACATTGACATTGGCTTTCTTACAGGGGCGGTGTTAAGTGACATGGTAAGATTTTTGGATCTGTATTAGTTCGATCAACCTCGTGACTTTTTATACCAACACAATCACCAAGTTTCAGACCTTCAGCTAAAGTTTTTAAATGATCATCGTAATTTTTTGTCTTTTTATTGGCAGTAGCAACATAGTTTTCAGTTGCCTTCTTTCTTATCGAATTATGACGCGGCGATTGTGAAGGGAAATGAATTGGGTTTATTGTACAAGCTACAAAAGGAGTTGAAAGAGTCATTTGAGAAGTTGTTTCGACAGAGTCACAAAGTACTATCAACCCATTGAGACGATCATAAGTTTGCGAGGTTTTCGTTGCATCTATGTGTTTCGTTCGAGGTCGATCTCGACATCCACAATCTCAAGGATGTATTGAAAGAGCGAATGGTGTGTTGACCGGAGCGTTAGGAAAATGGATGGCGGACGAAAATTCAATTCATTGGTCTGAAGCCTTACTACCGGTTGTTTATAGAATTAATACAAGAGTGTCTTCTGTAACTAAAAGTACTCCGTACGAAGTTCTTCTTGGTCAAAAGCCGCGTTCAGATGTGAAATTTTAGCGAATAGTTAAAGAGAAAAATATTTTAGACGAAGACGACTTGCCGGGCAATATAGAGGAAATTGATGAAACTCCAGCTGAGAAAAACAATTCAGACTTGCTTAATTTGGACGATGAATTAGATACTCCGGTTGTTAATGAAGCAAATGAAAAAGAAGCAAATGAAAACCACGCA